ATTAAAATCAATCTCAGCTGTGACTGGCTCAATTATGCACTCAGGCAAACAATATGAAGCCAGCTCAAATGATTCGATGGAATTAACTGTATTTTTGCATAATTGAATAATTTAATTCGATTCGGGCTTCTAATTGGATTGCAGCTGAAAAGTTTTCACTGATATGTGGCAATTGGCTTAATACCTTGCGGTTGGCCGCTTTAATTATGGTAGATGCGATTGCAGCCGGTCTAATGGGCATGTAATTGGCTAAGCGGGCACTAAAGATGCCGCATGCCACACGCCACATGCCACAAACGGCCGAACATTACGAGAGGCAACTTGTCAATGCGTGCGATGCATATATCACATCAGCATCAGCCTCAGCCCCATCCTCAGACTCAGCCTCAAATCGCAGCAACGCATCGCATAATGTTTGTCATAACTGAATAATTGCGTACGCGTTTCGCAAAAGGAGCGAGAGAAGAAAATTGTGGAAAAAGCCCGACAACTGCCGCCTCTGCTGCAGTGCTGCAGTGCTGCAGTGCTGCCACTCTGCCAGTTGCGCCTAATTTAGCAATGGCAACGCCAAGTGCCGCATAAATGTCTTGTCAAATGATGCGACTTCTTCAAGTGGAGCTGCGGCGCAGCCTCAGTTGCTGCCACGGCCACAGCAAATTGCATTATTAGCCGCAGTCATAAAAAGTCAGCAGCAGCCTCTACGCTTGCCTGCTCGCCGTTCCCTGCTCTCTGCTCCCTGCTCCAATTGCCAGCAACAACTGCTCCCTGAGCTACTCCCTGGGGCCATTCAATTTGATGTCTTTGCCTTTTAACGCCGCTGTCATGCAAAATAGTTGCAAGTACTTTGGATATTTCTTCGCTTTGAAGCTACTTGACAATTTCCCTTCAATGGAGCCACAATTGCTGCATTCACCTAACAGCTCTTGCCTGGAACGACTGCGAGTCGAGTCGACTTCTGCTGGAAAACATATTTATGGCCTCGGAATAGTAGTCAGAAATATATTTTTATTTAGTTAAGAAATATTTTTATTTACAGAGATTTATTTTTGTATTATTGTCAATAATTAAAACATAATAAATAATAAAATTTTATTTTAAATAGTTTCTCATTTAAAAATATATTTATTTTAATATTTATGCTATTAATATATATATAATAAAATTATATATTAAATAGTTTCTTATTTAAAAATATATTTATATTAATATTTACACTATAAATTCAAAAATATATATTTTTGTTAATGAATGGAATATTAATATAAAATAATAACATATTATTTTAAATAGTTTCTCACTTGAAAATATTTGTATATTAAATATCATACCTATAATAAATTTTTAAAAAAATACATAAATTTTTGTATTATTGTCAATGTATAAAAATTTTAATTATAATATGAAAACATTATTTTGTATCATATCTCATTTAAAAATATATTTTTATTAAATATATCTATTTATATATTTAATCATTTAATTTTCACAATTAATCAACCAGAAATATAACTCAAAATTATATTTTATATAGTTTATATAATTTTTGCAGAAATTTCTCAAATTTCTGTTATATTTCCAACAAACAATTATATAAAATGCCATTTAATGTTTCTCATTATTTCATGTTGTACTCTATAAAATACGATTTCAGCCAAGACGAATAGCAAGGGCATACGCGGCAAGTAGTCAATGCCAGCAACTGCGGCAGCAATGCAGCCGGAATTATTGCGGCATTCAACACTCGACACATTCTGGTTGCAAGCCTGAATGCCCGCTGGTGCCATGCAAAGCATGTGAGTGTATGTGTGTGTGTGTTGGTGCTTTGTAGTGTGGGTATAAGTGTGTGTTGCAAATGTCTCAATTTCAAAGCAAGCAACAAGCAACGCCTGCAGCGGCAGCAGCAGCAACAGCAACAGAGGCAGCAGCAATCTGAAGGCAGCCGTTGCATCTCGCTGCTGTCCAGGCTAATGACAGGTTATCCACAAAAGATGCAAAAACTGGTAACAGTGCATGATCCCAGGCTACCTGCTAACAGCAGCAGCCACAGCTATGCCAAGGTACAGACTGGAGCAGCAGCAGCAGCAGCAGCAGGAGCAGGAGTCTTGTCTCAATTGCCAATAAGTGGCGATGCGGTCGAGGCTGAGGCGTCTAATGTCTAAATTCAGTTGCTGCTCGCAAACGGAACCTTTTGAGTTGCCATTTTCGGGGCAAGACCTGGGCATAACCCATAATTATGGACTCTGCATGTGTGTGTGTGTGTGTATGTGTGTGCCTTTTGGGCGCTGACTGATGTGCTGCGACGCCTTGTCGTTGACCAGGTTTCACTGTACTTGGACTCCCGGGCCCGACTGTCTCGTTTTTCGGGTTTAACAACTAAATTTGAAAATTTGACACAAACAATGTTGAAAAGTTGCTGCCAGTCGCTGTCTCTCCGTCTGTCTGCCTGACTGCTTGCCTGGCTGCCTGACTGCCTGGCTGTTTGCCTGTTTGCCTCCAGGGAGCCTGGACCTCTGCTTGTTGTGCCACAGTCTCAGCTCGGGCATATTTAATTAATTTATTTCAAGTGATCCCCGTTGCGGAGCGTGTGGACTGTGTGGCGTCGTCTGCTTTTGAAGTGTTTCAAAATTAATTCCGATCGTCAGCCGTACGAGCGAGCGGCTATCCCGCTGCGCCCTCTGCCAGCGCCAGAGGGCGGGGGCAGATGCCTCGGCTAACCAACATCCAATTTTCGGGCTGATCCTTTTGTTTGCGGCGCGTGATTCGACTTCGTACTTGCGTAGCCCCTCACTGTCCCTCTCTCTCACTCTCTCTCTCTCTCTCTCTCTCTCTTTCGTTTTTGCCTGTGGTTTTTTCATATTCTTCGAATTTCTTGTGATTAGCACACGAATGGTCTACATTGGTATCTTCGGCTGTGGGGCGTTATGAGTGGGCGTGTCCGCTGCTTGGCAGCTGCTGCCAGCCAAACACAATATATACCCAAATGTATTATGTATAAATACCTCCACTTTTCTGTTGATCTCTATCAAAATGCGGCATGAGATCAGCGGGATTGTGAATGGTATCGATAAATGATATGATATAAAATGATATGATATGATATCATGATACATATCAGATGTAAGAGAAGAAGTAGTATTGAACAGCTAAAAATATAAAAATAGCTCAAGTTTTATATGAAATATATATGATAATTTTTAATTATAACTTCTAGAGTATGTATTTGAGTTTATAATTTCATTGAGCATCTTTAAAGTAAGCAATGTCTTTTCATTTCCAGAATCCCTTTAAATTCCAGCTTTATTTATATCTTGCTCTTGAAATATTGTTCATCTCAAAGTAAGACTCCGAGTCTTACAGCCTCGACATGTTGATCCTTCATACCTCCCAGGCTGTCACATTCCTTGGCAGCAGCAATTTGCTGTCTTAAGACACTTTTTCTTAATGCACTTCCCTTTTACACACATCATGCGCCTCTTTTACCCCCATTCTTTATCTGCTTTGTTTGTTCTTTCTTGCCCCTCTTGCCGGGCGGAGCGCATCTGCTGCAGATTATATAATTATACAATTATATACACATTAAAAATCTGTTACATTTTGTGTAATTCGTTAAAGAGAACAACTGGAAGGCCGCGTCGTTTCTCAAGAACTTTGTCGACGCGAGCGACACATGTGTTTCAACGACCCCAACAAACGCTGAAAAAAAAACTAAAATATTACAATCTATGGGTCTTATGGGGTCCCGTTTGTGTAGCCCTCGATTTAGGCAAACAAGTTGACAAAAATCTATGAAAACAAACATTAGTTGCATTTCATTGAGTAAACTAAACAATATCTCTGTATAGCATTCCCAATCTTTCTCTCTCTGTCTACCTCTCTCTCTTTCGCTCTCCCTTTCTCTGTCGCTATTGCATTGTCTCTTTATCTGCACAGGAAACTCAGCTCTTGTCTCGAATTGACATTTGTTATGTCAAAATTTCTGTGACAGCCATCAATCTGAGCGTCCGTCCGTACGACTCCCCGCTCTTGTGTTGACAGGCGTTTGCGTTTTGGGTCTTGGGTTTCGGCTGCTGTCAACGCGGTCGACAAGCTACGGAGACCTCCCAGAACTGCCCACAGTATTACCTCGTATGTCCAGAGTTCTTAAGTGTTGCAAATGCAATTTGTGTGCCTGGCATAAATACCTTTCGTTCCATTTCAGACTCTGCACTTGGAGAAATAAATGCTAAGTTAGTTTATACTTAAAATATTTTCTTAATATATATTTTCTAAATTTGTATACTGAAATTGGGTTAAAAATAATGCGTGCCATATAAATAAATAAAAAATATATATTTTCTAAATAATAGAACAAAGAACTGATAAGAGGTTAAACATTTTTTTTTTGAGATGAGAAAAAACATATTAACTATTTTTATTAATTTACAATTCTTAAAACACCATTTCTTACCGACATTTTCATATTTCTATAAGATGGGAACCAATAAATTATATAAAAAAAATATAAATAAAACAAGTAAGAACGTTGCAGTCGGGCGCTACCGACTGCGGAATACTC